GTGACCGGGATCGCCAATTTGTATTTTTATGCAGCTTTGATACCTTTCATGATTGTTGGTGTCTTGTGTAACTGCAACAATTTCAAACTCTACCATATCAAAATTGCCATTCATTTACATTTATTCTTAGGAGTGATTGTTTACTGTATCTATATCTTTATAAGTATTATTGTTTCTTTTTTGTCTTTCGAGTAAGTGATATACTGTATGACAGGATATATCAACATGGATTTTACATACATATGGAGACATCTAACATATATGATGTATACACTCAAGCCATTGTATGCATGGTATTTTGTATCATTTGTTGTTTTTTAACTTTTATTTATGCCAGACTATCAAAATGTCATATGCTTCTACAACTAATGAAGCTTATCTACCTCATACAATGTGCTATCAAAGCATCCTCGAGCCCATCAAACTCCAATAGGTTATATTATAAATGTGAATTTTTTCAGTGGTGTGAAGAATATATTGTTGCTGTGAGCAATGATGTTGATTTAAGGCGTTGCAAGACACAATAGTGGAATCAAATGAATGAATCACAAGAACGTACTGTGATCAAGGTGCGGGTGCTATTCAAGAAATGATGCTCGGTGCCTTAGGATGTATGCAACATTTAATGTTGTTATTATGTATAGCCAATGGCTACTTTTTATTTTTTATTTTTTTTACTTATTCTAAGGAGCATTTGATAGTCCGTCAAGAAACAATACAAGCTCATGTAATGGCTTGGGTGTATTTTTATTCGTTAAATAGAATCAAGCTAAACTTTGATGATTATTTGGTTGTTTTTCATCATGTGCTTTTTTGATATATTGTTAAATTTGTGCAATACGTCTTTCTTCATTTTGATGGAGTACATGTCTACATGCAGATAATTGTATAACTGTATTGAGTTATTGTGACATCCCCATCGCAGGGGCCCATATACAATTTTGTAAAGTTCGCACAATCAATACAAAAGGAAATTACAATAAAAAGACAAAATATTACTACTCTGCATTCATACAGAGGAATCTCTTTTATATGAAAGACTGTCTTTTCTGAACAGTTGGTATTTGGAATGTTAATCATTCATTTTAGGGGCCTGAGTCAACATAAGTCATGTTTTTTCTATGTGGTTTATTTTTTCTCCAGATAATAACGTTTCTCTCACTATGTTCAGTGCTCATAATTAACTAGTGTTCATTCACTTAATATGTTGCATATGGTCATGAAATGCTTTCATACATGCATCATTCTTGCTCTCATTATATGAAATCAAATAATGAGTACAAATGCAAAATAGAAGAGAGGTTACATGTGGGTACAAATACAAATTCATTCTTGCTCTCATTAAATAAATTTGTACAGAGAAATGGTATAATGAAGAACTTTTACTCTCTCACTCTCACTCTCTCTCTCACTTCATTTGAATTCACATCGAAGAGACCTCTGGGCAATAGGGATACGATAGTGAAATAAATTTTCCTCCCAATACAGTTATTTAGTAGGAATAAAGTACACGAGATGTTGTTGCACTAAGCAAGAGATGTAAACAAAAAAACTAGGAACAATTACCAGGACTTTCAACTCCTAAAAATAACTTTAAAAAGTAGCACAAATAGGATAAATTTTGAAAAAATTATGATAAAGTGGGCAACAAAATGCAGATGGACCTAAAAGAAAGTACAATAAGAACCAAGAAAATACAAGTTCTATATGGAAAATTGATCACCAGGAACTTCTGGCGATTCAAACAAATTACTATATCAGCCAAACCATAGCTTTTTGGTTGCAAATAGTTTCCTCTCAAAAGGTTTACGTCTATGGTGAAATACAATGTGTCTGCTCCTTCCATATTCCCTCATTCCAAAATGAAAATAAAAAGAGTACCATGATTCTACCCCTTCCACATTCTCTCCTTCTAATATAAAAATAAAAAGAGGACAATGAATCTACTCCTTCCACATTCTCTAATTCCAAAATGAAAATAAAAAGAGTAAAATGAATCTGTTCCTTCCACATTCGCTCCTCTTGATTGTCCTCATCAAAATGGTCAGCCCCAAAGGCTTGAACACATGGTTTGAGACCCCCTTGGCCCACTGCCACGCTATATATTACAGTGAAGAAGAAACCCACTTTCCTAACAGACGGCAAATGGCTGCAAAATCTCCTGCCATTGTGTCTTCATAATAGTATGATTAGGATTCTAGGGGACATTTGAAAGGAGAAAACATAATTATAGGGAACTTTTGACTTTGCATTTCAATTACATTTATAAAGAGGTACAAAGCTAGTTGATTTTTTAGACGAAACAAACATTGCATGATAAACATGTAATTGCAACCTTTACATCAATAGAAGTATCACAGTAGCAACAAAGAGACCCATAAGAACCCAAATCAATAAAGTTATATATTTCATGAGTTTCATACCATAACTAGTCAAGTTTCACAATTTCATAGGACCCATCTCTACATCTTTTGTTGACATTCAACCTATAATAAGAAAAACCATTGTAGGAATTTACACAATTCAAATTACATTCACAAATACTAAGAGATATGGAGCAAGAAATATAAAGATATATGGAGCAATCATTCATTCATACTTTGGACGTGCAAAGGAGGGACAATTTCTTTTGTCGTGTCCACTCCTTTTACAAACTGTACACTTACGAATCCCTTCTTTCGCTTTCTCTTTCGCCTTTTCTTTCTTCACTTTCTCTTCCTCTTGTTCAGCCCGAGATTTATATCTAATATTAGTAGGTCGCCCTTTAGTTCGCGCTCTTGGGGGCTCAAGGATGTTATGGAAAGGGTTACCCTCAGTCGTCTTGCTAGTGCCACCAATAACATTCTCGTTAAAAGTGGTATTAGGGGTCTTGGCAACATTGTGAGAATCGACCATATGCCCAATTTTGGCTTCGACCTTAGCACATGCTTCGGCTAGAACGGATATTACTAATTCATGGAGTTCTCTGGCCTGTAAGCTTTATCTAAAGCTCACCAAACAAACTATGCTACAAAAGAATATATATCCATGGAGAGAGAGAGAGAGAGAGAGGATACTATGATCAATGTGAAGAAACTAGCCAATTCTAAAACTACATTTGCGATCAAAATAACAAAATCAAGCTCCACCATATTAATTGAATCAATTTCTATGAATACTAGCAATACGAATCAATTTCTTTGACATCTTTGTTCCCCTAATTTTCACAAGACACATAGAGCCATAAACCAGGATGCATAAGATTTTTCTAGAGAGACAGAGAGTTTGTACCTTTTTCTCCTCTTCTTGCTTCGTCTTCTATATAGAGAGAGAGTGAGAGAACATGTTGCAGAGGGCACAAACTCATGAAAGAGAGAGAGAGAGGGGTAGGGCACAAACACAAGCGAGAGAGAGCGGAAGGGCACAAATGTGTGTGTGAGAGAGAGAGGGCAGACCTGAACTAGTTGGAAAGAGCTATAGAATGAGATGGCAGGGTTAAACCAGCGAGAGAGAGGGAGCAAGGCAGCCGACTGAACCACATATGAGAGATAGAAAGAGCGGGAGAGAGAGGGGGCAACAAAAGAGCATGAGATTTGGGTGAGAGAGAAAGGCCCGCTGCTCCATGATGCTAGAGAGATAGAGTAATGTGGTCCGTCAAGCTATTTGCATAAGTTGATTTGAAATGGGCTTGAAATCAAGCCAAGAGAGATCACAACCGTTAGCAGTCCACACGCCGTTCGGCTCAACCCATTGGCACAGGCGGGCAAGCCAACAATATCATTATATATAT